ATTCAAAGTCTTTGTCACACCACTCTACTCACTGGTCTTCCAACTAGCTCTCTCCCTACTGAGCAGGCCACATCCAAACAGCTTTTCTTCTTAGGGACAATAGGCTACAAGCATGGTGATCCAATGAGTCATGAATTTTTTGCTTCATAATAGCAGAACTTCAGCAGGAAAGAAAAGGCTCTTCTGCTCCTCATGGGGTACTTATGGCATTCTCCTAGGAGACTGGAGATGTTGTTTTAGCCAGTTTCAACACAGATTTGGGGTTCTTTTTAGATACCCAGGGAGGGGGACCAAGTCTTTAGGCTAACCTGTAGAGGTGGTGAAAGCACTTGCCAGAAGTATAATTCAACAAGGAGCCCCATTTCATCATATGTCAAGTATTTTCAAAGACCTGCTCAGTAGGGCAGGTCCCTTGGAGGATTTAGGCTGAGAAAATATGTAGTTTCTGGTGTCTGGGTCAGTTTGGGAGAGGAAGGGGCACAAAGCATTTCTGTGGAGACAAGTTCAGCTCATGCCCAAAAGCAGGAAACAGCCTCAAAGAAGGAGGCACCTTGCAAGTCTGGGGTTAAGCAGGAGCTGGCTGCAGCATTCCTGGATGGAAATTTTCGTACTCGAGTCGCTTGACTCCATTTGGGCCTGCGATAGCTAATGATGTCCTTTATTGGTGCTAATTCTTACCCACTGCTGGCAACGTGTGCTGCAGTGGGGAAGTCCACATAAAGGTATTTAACATGCGATGGAGTAACTAGCCTGAGTCGGAATCTAAAGCTTCGTAAAAGGATTGTGCAGGCAGCTCGATGAGACCAATATGCTCTCTCTGCTTTGCTGACGCAAATAAATCCTGAAGTGACTCTGGTGACAGTATTCTGTGAGAAGGGAATAAAGAGAGCTTGCCAGAGCATCTGTATTTCCCTTGTGCTTTACAGAAAAGACATATGGATCTTCATAGAAAATTATAACCTCCTTGAACAATGTAATAGGTAATTATATTCCTGACTTAGAAATTCTATGGCATACTGAATATAAAAATCCTCACTCGGTTCTGCAGTTTTCTTGAGTGCCCTGTCAAATCTCTTCTTTTCATCCCTTTTAAAAGTACATAACTTTTACCTCAGAGACCGCTGAGTTACTTTTCTTGTCCCATTATAGAATCATAGAATCAGAATGGCTAGAGTTGGAAGGCACCTTAAAGATCATCGAGTTCCAACCCCCCTGCCATGGGCAGGGACACCTCCCACCAGACCAGGTTGCTCAAAGCCCCATCCAGCCTGGCCTTGAACCCCTCCAGGGATGGGGCAGCCACAGCTTCTCTGGGCAACCTGTTCCAGTGTCTCATCACCCTCACAGGAAAGAATAAGAAATCCTTATTTCTAATCTCTAATCTAAAACTCCCCTCTTTCAGTTTAAAACCATTACCCCCCATCCTGTTGCTCCACTCCCTCATAAAGAGTCCTTTCCCAGCTCTCCTGTAGCCCCTTTAGGTATTGGAAGGCTGCTAGAAGGTCTCCCCAGAGCCTTCTCTTCTCCAGGCTGAACAACCCCAGCTCTCTCAGCCACTTCTAGGAGACATGCTCTATCCCTCTGATCATCTTTGTGGCCTTCTGCTGGACCCAATACTCCAGGTGAGGTCTCACCAGAGCAGAGTGGAGGGGTAAAATCACCTCCCATGACCTGCTGACCATTAGATCTACATGCCCCCACCGCACCAGGTTATTTTGGAGGAACCCCCTCCCCACCACCTTCAGAGGGGCTGTCAGCACACACAAGTGCCACCAAGCCTTGCCCAGAGACCAACACCACTGACCAGGAGCCGTGTACCTTCCTTCCCCACAGCCCTGAGCCCGAGCCCAGAGGGGACAAGGCAGCCCCACACTTCCCTCACCACTGAGGGCTGGGAGTGGGCTGCACCAGGGAGAGAGCAGGCAAAATGCTCATGAAATTATCTGTCCCCTGGTCCTGGTTTGCTCTACCCGCTCTGTTCATTCCAAAAATTGCTCAATGCCTGGGAAAACCTTGTAGGCCGTGTTTGCCTTCCTCCTCCCTGCCCCTTCCAAAGTGTGAAAAAGGGTCATCATTGATGCCTAGGCCTTGTGTGAAGGTGTTATTTTCAAAGCACCCTGTAAACATTAACTTATTAAGAAAATACAATCAAGATTATAAATAGCTGGAACCTCTTTAGGGTTGCTCCATTGTAACCCAAAAATATCACATGTAATTTCAGTGATACTTGCTCAATGATTATAAAAATAAAAAAAAAATATGCCCCAAGGCTGAAAAGGTGGATGGTAAATTGCAGCTGCAAATTAATTAAAATAATCAAACAAGCCAGAGGTAACTCCCACAGCAAGGTGGTTGCTTATAAAGACAATGTTAATGGAGCATTTACCATTGGGGGTTGCCTGGTTCCCTTTTAATAAAATATCTGTGATTACCTGATTAGCAGAGCATTTTGTTCTCAATACAGCCATGCAGCCAAGGAGGAGAAAAGATAGGCTTTTATCAGACAAGGCTTGTTTATTTAAAATGTGTAATTGACTTCTCCTTTTTTTTATGGAAGCATGATCCAACAAGCTGCTCACCTCCAACTACACATACTGCTTCTCCTCTCGCCAGTCTGAGATGAGCCAGTTTTCTGGCAGGCGCTTATCTTGGCAAAGTTACCAAAATGATCTGGAATAAACTGCAGGAACGCTGCAATGGATACGAGAAACTAACCTTTAATGGTCAGAAGCGGTCACCGTCCATTATGATATTACCCGAGTCACAGGCCATCGTGCTAGAACGGCAACGACAACGTACCAGCTGTGGTTCTGCCCCCACACGGTGTTACTGGAGGAATAAACTGGTTAGGTTTGATAATATCTGAGGGGGTCAAAATACAATCCCCATTTTTCACTGCCGCTCACGTTCTTAAGGGCACTCCTCGTGCAGGAAAGCAGCGCTTGGCAATAAAAGGCTCTGACAATCTACTGGAACACCAGTAAACTTGGAAAATTCAAAGAACACATGAAAACTAGACACCTCATGCATGTAACTGTATATTTATTTCTTTTTAAAGAACACTCCTTAAATGTATTGTAAGTCAATATACAAACTTGGTTTCACAGATTTATAATCCACTAAATAGCACAAAATATAATCCAGGTCGTTGGTTTCTTTCATCTGTGTGTGTGTGTGTGTGTGTATTTGTGTGTGTGTGCGCACACACGCATGCTGCTGGTGGCAGTGGCAACCCACCACACGTGTTCAAACACAAGCCCGGGCTCCTCCTGACTTTCCTCTGGAGCAAGCCTCAGCCAGATGGAGACCCTGTTCTGGAAGACTGTGACTTTCTCACCCATGAATCCTGCTCCTTGAAAAGGCTGGGGTGGTGGTGGTCTCTGCCTCCCCACACGGTCCTTCCCTGAAGCTGACCCTGAAGCTCCTCCACCATCCTCCCCTGAAGTTGACTCTGAAGCTCCTCCATCATACTCCCCTGAAGTTGACCCTGAAGCTCCTCCATCATCCTCCCCTGAAGTTGACCCTGAAGCTCCTCCATCATCCTCCCCTGAAGTTGACCCTGAAGCTCCTCCACCATCCTCCCCTGAAGTTGACTCTGAAGCTCCTCCATCATCCTCCCCTGAAGCTGACCCGGGTACCGCAGTGGAGAGTGACCAGCCATGGTGTTCAAGTGCAAGGAAACACCTTTTTTGACCTGCTCCAAACACCTCTCTGACACTCCGGGGCACCCCTGCGTGACACCTATGCCCAATGGTCAACCCTCACCAGCAGGGGACTGCCGGGGCTCGGTGGGGTGAGCCAGCGGGCCGGCCCCTCGCCCAGCCCCGTGCGGCCATAGGGGCCTGGCCACCCTGCTGCTGGTGGCCGGACTCTGCCTGCTGGTGGCCAGCAGTGCCCCGGCTCCGTGCCCGGTGGCACAGCAAACCTGGCCTGTCCCACTGAGTGACACAGACGGCACCAGTGATGCACCTGCACATATTTACATGGGGTGGAATGTATTCCCATCGCTTTTTAAAGGAGTTTATAGATCAACATGTTCACATAAGACCAAATACTTTTAATATATTTATAACTGTTTTATAAAGCTTTGAAAAAACTCACAATAGCACATTGTTTTACTTTAATGCTTTACGGTACTATCAGTTTAAAATCACAATCAGCACTTAAGTTATAGTCAATCCGGCAAACAAGAGACAAAAAAAAAATTACAAGAGTTAAGAACTGACTGATACATCCTTTATCTTTTCTTTTTAACTAATGCATAAGTGCAGAATAAGATAAGATACTCTAGTTTAAATATCTTGTTTTACAATATACATTTTGTTCTAATTACGCAACAGTAAATCCCATGCTTCACATAGAAAAGCAATCCACAACATTAAGAAAAAAATTTACAATTTATGAAACAAAGTAAATAAATATTAGTATTACAGAATCAGAGCTGTACATAAAAGCTGTTCAGTTTTAATCATATAAAAATATGTTTTAGTGCAACCTCACATATATTGATGCTGTTTTGCTTTACATCATTTAGATCCAAGTGTCCAAAAAAGGAAAGAAATTACATTTATTACAAAGCAGATACACAAATTCTAAAATATGTACAAATTACTGCTAAAAAAATGCTTATAAGAATATAAGCAAAGTAAAGAAAAGGCACAAACATCTGTACAATTTAAAAGTACCAGACCCAATAAGAATTTCAAATTTAGTTTTGGTCAGGCTCAAGATGACTTGTTATTTTATCTAATTCTTTTGATATAACAAAAGTATATATAATAGCAAACTACTGTAACTTAGAACAGGCATGCTGTAAAGTTGAATACTTCTATCTCTAGAAAAAAAAAAAAAAAAAAAAAAAAAAAAAAAAAGGGGGGGGAAAAAATTTTTTTTTTTTTTTTCAACATTTTTTTCTGTTTATTGTTCTAGGCAAATAGCTGAGCTAAGAATACAGTAGGATAGTTCAAAAAAAAAAAAAAAAAAAAAAAAAAAAAGAAAAGGTGGGGTAAAATGTATGGGTGAAAGTCTCCATGCATCTCAGATCAATGTGGCTTGCTCTTCTCGGATGACGGATCTTTTCTTTCCTGTGTGCTTGATGGGGGCTCGCTCCTGCTGTGAAAGCCCAACTGCCGGACGTCCACAAAGCTCTTGCTGTAAAAGGTGGGATGGGCTAACGCAGTCTGTGATGTACCAAAACTGTCCTGTTCACCACCGTGCAAGTCAGGATGGGTGGCTGAGGCACAGGTCTGGCCCGGCTCAGATCCACTAAAGTGTTTAATGCTAAAATGTGCACTTTCTAAAGGTTTCTGGGGAGGCTCGGAGGGCCTCTGCAGCTGCTCCGCCCCGTGCAGAACGGCTTCTTCTGTGGCGATTCGCAGAGAGGCTATGGCTTTTGTACAAGTCTGTATGTTCTCCTCCTGCTCCCTCTCGGTCGCTACCACGCTCTCCTCCGACGTGCTCTGCGCCAGCAGCAGCAGCGGAGAGGACGGGGCGCTGGGGGGAGCGGCGGGGTGCAAGCTGTGCGGAGAGGTACGCTTCTCGTGGTGCTTGGAGACGCCGTACGGTTCTTTCGTAAGGATTTCCCCCGTCCCTCTTGGCTTCTCCTCGGAGCCCTCCCTCTGCAGGGCCAGAGCGGACGGAGGATGTAAACCTGAAAGGGCCACCGGTACTGAATGGACCATCTGGATCCCCCCGATGGGCATCATGGGGATGGGCGCTCGGATCTGCTGCTGGGAGTGTAGGGGAAGGTGGCTGAAGACGTAGTCGCTCGGACCTTCGGGGAACGGGCTAGACCCACGGTGCTCCACACCTCCTTTTTCTCCATATACGTTGAAGTAAGGCCCCTGAGACAACCCCCTTCTCTGTAACCAGAAGAAAAAAAGAGACACAAAAAGAAACGTCAGCGCTGCTACTAGCGAAATTCTTGCCCGGCTGCCAAACCACCTATCTGTTTTCCTGTCTAACACAACCTCCCGTTCCGCGCAGCACCTTTCACGCAGATGGATCCCAAAGCATTTGGAAAACTCCGCTAATTGCTTCTCCAAACAACATGGGAGGTTTTGCTTAGCTCAGCCCTACAGGGCTCATGCCTCTGAGGTGAAAGGCAGCAGCCAGTTGAGAGTGTTCAGCAACACAATGCAGCAATTTAGGTCAGGAAGTGAAGAGTATTATATTCAACTGAAACTGCGGAGAGAATTTGGGGTAGAGTTTCATTCCCCAGGAGAAATTTGGCCAGGAGATCCCTCTTGCCCTCTCTTTTGGCGAACTGTGCAATCTGTGCTGGTATTGGCACTCCACGCTGGGTATCAAGACTTTGCTGAAAGCTCCTGCTCTGGAGCCCCAGAGAAGGCACTTGCTCCTCCTACCCTCCACCACGAGCTTTACCCAACCCTTGATGAAAGGGGACGGGTATTTCCATGGAAGTTCAAGTGCCTCCGTGCAATGAAAACCCAAATTTTTATAGTCATTAAGACAATGGAGCATCACTTTGGCCTATCTGAAGTGTACACAATAAATAATAACAAAAGCACAGGCATTAGCTGTGAGTGAAAGTGATGATTCTGTCACGGGGAGGCTCACCCACTCATAATGGGATTGAGAAGAATGGGGGATTTTGTAACGGCTAATAAAAACCAATCTCGCAATATTGACATTTTCAGTGCCTTCCCATTAGCTCCTGCCTTGGAAGAATGAATAGCTCCATCTCCACTCAGTATTAAATATGCCCCGGGCTTTTGGGTTTCTCTTTTTTTCATTCTTAACTTTCAAAATTTGTTTTCCATCTGATGATTAAGTATCATTTATTGCTGACCAGAGGAATAACGATGACAGAAGCGCAGGATGACATTTTCATAATTGTGTGTGGGATTTGGCCACACAACTCTCGGGGACTCCCACAGGAAATTAAATGAACAAAAATGTTCATCTCGGCTCTGCAAATTGACCAAACACCTATCAATTGCCCCAGAGCTGTAGTGCTACCGCAAGCCTTGGTGTGGCAGCCCGAGGGCTGCGCTCTGAAATGCCAATGCATTAAAGAGGCAGCACTTCACTGCTGGGAAATCCTAGCTCTCAAGGCATTAAGCAACCTCTTGATCCCATCCCAGAGAACTGGTTTAGGGGGCAATTAAAGATTCAGTTTCTGTGCTACCCAGGGGCTCAATCTCACTGTGCTCAGATGCTTTGTCCTGTTCGATATAAATCAACGCCGAGACAGGAAGGGTGACCCATAATCATCAGACTCAAACTTAAGAGATGTTATTATTCAGTGACTTATCTATGTTGGGAATTTTCCTATTCAGAAAGTGAGACACGAGTCTCATAAAAGAGAAACTGTCATAAGAAAGCACAGTGACAGCACGTTACACCGCTGAATGGGGAAAAAATTACAGAATAAATTGCAGTTGCCAAGCCACAAGACACAGTTCACCTATCCTGTCAGTCCTTCCTATCGCTAACCTCACCTCTGCACAGCTGCTTGCCCCCCTTTTTTTTTCCATCTTTGGTCTGTCAACCCGTTTCTCAGTCATACTCTCCTCTTGGCTGTTTCCTAAGCCATGACATTTATCACTATTGCATCTGATGTGAACTTGGGCTAAGGGAAATAGAGCAAAAGCAACCAAAAAAAAAGGAGTAAAAACCAAAAAAAAAAAGGAGTAAAACTCATCGAAGACCAAACCTAGTCACACACAAACCTCTAATTGAGAAAGACATGGGTTTCATGTTGTACCCTGCCACAGTTTCCAAAGGGAATAGAGCAGCAGTCTGTCCTTGTCGGATAGAGGTGGATAACATGATAGAAACTGCTACATGCTTCCAGATCAGCACTATCATCCAATATATGTCTCATGTGCATAATTTTTACATAGACAGTGACAGCGTGTGCATGTCCACTGGATGCCTTCCAAGCCTGGGTGAGCGCATATCGGATTATCTTCCTCTAGCTCTGGCAGATAAGTTTGGAAACAGCCAACATAAGTGGTTCCAGGCATTAAAAATTGTTCATACCTCTTTCCCTGATTTTATTTCCTTTACCAATACCTAGTGGTTTCATATCTACAGGCAGACACATGTATGCACACTCACGGGGAAAGACTGAATATTAGAAGAGCTGTGTTAACAAACACCATGAAAATCCAAATACTTTACTCTGTTGACAGAGCAAGTATTGTATTCCACCACCGAGCACCATGCAGAAAAGTCACAGTATGTTGTTGCAGTGCAGTCAGAATGGGTTCCTGCCAGTGCAGTGAGATGAGCTCCCCTCCTTGCCAGGTGCTGGGAATCCAGTTAATTTCCTATTAATTCTCATTTGTTGCAGTTTAGCATATTTATCTCCAGCTCCAGGTGATATTTCCCAAGCAATAATATTCTGAAGGAGCTTCTCACAAAACTCTATGGCCCGGTGATAAAGCCGGACCGCCACACCACACCCCTGAGCAAAGCCATATCCAGCTTCACAGGTCCCCCAGAATGTCTCAGGGATGAGATAGGGTTTACCCTGTGTCTGGAACATCACCCAAAATGGGCTGGGAGGGATTAAGAGGAAGATCTCATTTCAAAGCCAAGCACCCTTCACAGACATCCTCCTGACAGCCTCAGACCGCAGATCTCAAAAAGATGGCGGGTGGGAAACAAAGTAAAGTACTTGAGGCTTTTTAAAGTTAAAAACCAGAAAGTGTTGAACTCTAGTGTGAAATTCAATAGCAGAGCTTATTACTGATGTGCTTTCTAAAAGACATGATGCTTAATAAAATAATAAAATAAATCTGGGTGCACTTCAGTTTCAGGATCCACTCGACTTGGGGTCCTGCTGAGAACGCACCACAGCAGCCCCCAAAGCACCAGTGGTGTATTGGGGAAACTATTTACAGTCTACCTGGACTTCAAAAGTTTTATGCTGGCTTTCTGTACAGCAATGCATTTCACTCAAGATGATAAAGTACTGAGTGCTTGGGAAGGGATTCAATATCCATACGTCTCGGATGATCAAAGGAGTTTAAGTCCTATCGACTTTCAAGTGGGTACAGAGGTGCATAACTCCCTTCGGCCCTTCTGGATATATCAAGACAGGCTTCAGACTTCGAAATGAATGAGAGGTGCAACAAAACAGCAACACAAGCAAAATCCACTACCTCCTACAAGCTAAAACAGTTGTTAGGGTCAAGTTTGTACCACTCACGGCAAGATATATTCATGGTCTCACTGTATCTAGCCCTGGGACTAGGGCTGGTCTCACTATATCTAGCCCTGGAAGAAGAGGAAAAAGTTCTGGGCCACCCCAGGAGGTAGCAGGGTGCAGGAGAAGTGGGGACAGCCAGGAACAGAGTGAAAATCTTGCTCCTGGATCCCACATTCACAGTGTAGGTGAGGTTGTGGGGTTGTGGGGGAAGGTTGCTTTGGACTATGTGGTCTCTTCTTGCTCACTTGGATGCTCACTCACAGTTTAAGTCCACTTGCTGCACTCCCAGTGCACATTTTCTGGTTTAATTTCATCTGAAAACAATCCAGGTCACTTACTCCAAGACCGCTCTGCAATGTGAGTCAAAGCACAATAAATGTGACACCAGAGACATATGCCTGATCCAAACTAAAACGCTAACAGAGATGCACTCAAGGGGCACAAAAGCAGCCTTCCCATCTCTCCTCTTCTCTCAGGACTGGCATAAAACGACTGGGGAGAAGAATCAGAGCCCTTCAATAACAGCATCAGCCTCCTCAGAAAGGACAGAGACCTCTGGTATTCACTGGAGAGAAGATCCCAAATGCATTTAGAGAGCAATGTGCATCTGTCATTAAAGATGGCCATTTGACTTGCCAAAGCCAAATGTGCACCAGCATCAACCAAAGCCTGAGGCTACTTTGGAGAGAGTATCCTGTGGCAAGAGTGTATCCTGTTATTAACTTCCAAAGAAAAAAAAAAAAAAAGGTATGTTCTTCTGTATTTTTGTGCAGTCTACAAAAATAGTTACTTTCCCCATGCTCTCTTCCACTTCCTAAAGAAATAATTTCAATTGCTTTCTATGTGGTGCTTCCAACGCCAGAGCACTTTACAAGCTCTTTGCACAGGACCACCAGAGTGCATGAACATTCAAGGTGGGGGGGAAAGCACAACAGGAAGGGGAACTAGACCAAAGAGACTAGAGCCAACACATCAATTTCAGTGGAGAAGAAAGAAAACTGGCCTCTTGTGGGAAATGCAGGCAGCAGAAGCACAAAACCACTCTTATTCCTACGTGGACTGGCAACGCAATGCAGCTCTGAAAGAGGAAGCAGGATTGTAAACTGGCATCTGCATCACTGATGCAGTTGCTAATCATGTTCTGATTTGCTGGATTTCACTTCTCTGAAAGTGAAAAACAGCCTTTATTCCTTTTTCTTCTCTGACAGCTTTCATTTATAGCAAGTTCAGGTGTTATTTGCCTTCCCACACACTGAGTAAAATAACTTGTGTTTCACCTAAACCCAACTACTGTTTGGCTAAAGTAATGTCTTCCCAAAAGGCATCAAGAGGTGGGGAATTCATCTTTCCTTCCTTGCAGTCATTTTTTGAGATGTGCAATCATCCTCACTTGTCACTTCCTCATTTAAATTTGCCTGGGTTTTTCACTGCCACATGCCTGATCCTACCTCAAAAATAAGATAAGTGTTAAAAGCCCATCTGGCATGGTGGACTTTCCAAAAGAAGGAGCTAAGGGTGTTAAAAGAGCCCTCATAATGTGCTAAACGCCTTGCTCGAAGGTGTGCATAACACACAAGGCAAGCATTACAGCAAGAACTGTCAGATGGCCAAGGGTGACTGCTACATACCCTTTTGCCAGCATCATCACGCATCCAAAATCTCTACTACGGGATGCCAGTGGAAGCGTCTCATGGGGGACATTAGGGACTGGGGGTCCTTGCACAATGTCAGCTGTTAGGGTCTCATAGAATCCTTTCCATTTGATACTAAGGTATCACGACTGTTAAACTGGTTGCTCTCCTTGTGCTTCCTTACTTTGCCAGTAGAACTGTTGGCCAGATTTGGATCCTCTCTCAGCTACGCAGTGATGGCCCCTATGAGGGTGCAGCTGGGTTTCACTAGTTGGTGAACTAGTGGACCAACCACTAGTTGGTTCCTCAAGAACCAGCTTAGTCAGCCACCCCCCTCCACTGCTTCCCCCAACAACTTACCAGGGCATGGGGCCACAATAATCACAACTGTTAAACTGGTTGCTCTCCTTGTGCTTCCTTACTTTGCCAGTAGAACTGTTGGCCAGATTTGGATCCTCTCTCAGCTACGCAGTGATGGCCCCTATGAGGGTGCAGCTGGGTTTCACTAGTTGGTGAACTAGTGGACCAACCACTAGTTGGTTCCTCAAGATCCAACTTAGTCAGCCACCCCCTTCCACTGCTTCCCCCAACAACTTACCAGGGCATGGGGCCACGTCTAAGACATGGGAGAATTACCTGCAATGCTCTCCTACATACATGGCCGCTCACATTGCAGCTTTCCCTTATCCCCCTGAAAAGCTGGGAAGCCACTTTTGGATCTACCAGGCTGGTGGCATCTCGGCTCTGTTCAGTCCATCCCTACTTCAGCCACCTTTGCCCAGCTGCATCCCTCACTCCATTCCCAGGCGCAGGTAGCACATCAGCCTGGCTCCACAGAGAAAGTCACCCCAGAGCTCCGGAAATGCTGATTTTATGAGCTTAGGGTTCAATTCCTCTCCTCTACAGAGAACACAGCGAGGGAAGCATACAAAATAAAAGTAATAAATAAAATAAAAAAGTCCCTTAACTCTAAAGAGCAAATTCATTTGTGAAGGCAGTGCTTTGCAAATGCTAGAGCCTGTCAAAAGTGCCAAATGGGCAGTTTCTGAGAGCTGGTTTACCGAAAGGGAACAGCACAGACAGCAGCTGTGCAAGTTTTGCATATTTCCATTTCCACCCAGACGGTTGCATCCCTGCCGAAACGGCCAGTCGCCATGGCACTTTCTGCAGGGCAGACAGCTGCCCGCTCCTGTCACACCATAGCATCCTTTAAACTCCAGCCACAGGTCCTGATTTCGATGGGCACCCTGCTTTTCTGAGACATTCCATTTATTTTAGCGTTTTTATGCCATTGAACCCTACTTCAGCGATGGGCACCGTACTGCAGTGTGAGGGCCTTAAGCCCTGATCTGGAATGTAAAAGGTTTTACAGTGCAGAAACAAGCCTCACACGCCACCTAAGCTTCCTGGGACATTTTAAAATAATAGAATATATATAAAAAATAACTATAATAAAGACGGGGGCAGTTAATGTAAGCCAGTCTAATTTCATTGAAGTTCATGGAGCTACTCAGGCTTGTACCAAGTGAAGATTTGACCCTTAGGGTGACTCTCCTGCATCTAACTGGGTGGTCCTGCTTTAGCAGGGGAGTTGGACTAGATGATATCTATAGTCCCTTCCAACTCTAAAAATTCAGTGAAATTCAGTGAAACTGAATCAACGTCCCATCTTGGTCCCTGTCTATTCCAAATGTATTTGTTCCAGGACTTGCCGTCAAGGCTCAAAGCTTAGGCCTTCTTCTTCTACAAATCTGTAAAATTTTTTAAAATCCTATGCACAGATTAGGTAAGAACACTGTTTTTTTTGACAACGGGAGTGAAAATATTCTTTCATACTTACTGAATGCCCCACTGGAATAGATTCAGACTGTAAATATTGACCCATGGACAACGCTGGATTATGGTATAAGCCCCTCCGGGGAGATGCTGCTCTAACGGAGGCCATGTATCTCCTCTCTCGCCTGGGAGACAAATCTCTTCGAACAGACGTGTCTTTCCCTGGTGACATGGGTCTCCTGGGCGATAGGTGACGTCTTGGTGACACGTCCCGTCTTGGCGATAACTCTCTCCTCAGCACAGACTCCTTCCGTGGGGAAAGGTGCCTCATGGGTGAAATATCTCTTCGGGGTGACAGATGCCTTCTGGGTGACAAATCCCCTTTTGGCATTAAATACCTCTTTGGTGAGTTATCTCTATAGGGTGAAGAATCGTAGCTGGGTGACGACTGTCGACTGGAAGGTGAGAGGTCCCTTGGAGACGAACTGGGGTCTAACGAAAGCGCGTAATCCTCATCCATGCAACTAGGTATGTCCAACCGGTCTTTATCGGGCTCTGAATCGGTACTCTTGCTCTGGAAAAACCTCTGATATTCTGTCATCTGTGTGTCTTCACAGGAGTCGCTCGATGTTATAAGCTGAGTAACCTGAATGCTAGGTAAGGTGACCAAGTAACTGATGAGGGAGGAGTGTCCCACGGAAAGGGAGCCTTCAGGGGAAGCCCCCTGTGATGCCCCAGCCGAGTTCACCGACAGGGAGGAGAACCGAGGGGGCTGCGGGCTGGTGCTTCTTGATCTGGTTTTTGGTGTCGAGTCTCCCTGAGTATCATCAAAATCATCCTCATCCTCATCGTCGTCGTCGTTATCGTCGCCATCCTCACCGTCCGACTCCTCCGCGTCAGAAAACTGGTGCTCTGCTGACAGGCCTGCCAAGTTGCTGCTCTTCTCTGCCTCCTGCTGCATGTCCTCCATGTTTTCTGAAACAGCCATGGCAAGTCAAAATAGTGAGCCAAAATCCCACCTCTTAACGCCTTCCACCACGTTCGTTCCCCACCCAGCACACCATTGCCCATCAATGGATGCTCTTCATCTGGGATGGCTGCGTAAGGCCATTCTTCACAGCCTCAAACAGCAATTTTTCATAGTAATACCTTAAAGTTCTATCCTTGAAAGGAAGTATAAAAAGCAAATCCACCCCACCTTGCAATTTCGCTAAACGTTGCCATCTCTCACATCTAAATGGAAAAGATGGGGAACTTTGTATGAGACAGGGGACAACAGGTCATTCTTTTATTTCTAGCTCCTCCCCATGAATCTTAATAAAAAATGTAACTCAGACAAATGGATCGGATTTATTTTTTATACTTCCTGTTTATTAAAAAAGATGCCTCTTAATTAAAAAATGCCCCAAATACTCTTAATACATTTTCCCATGCCAGCCACTGTGCTAAAGTGCAATGAGTCATTTGCATACTCCAGAGGCCATTCCAACTAAATTAAATCATTCTGGCATACCTGCTTCTTCTGTTTCAGCATCATCTACGGATGTCATTGATACTCCAAGCTCCAGGCATTTTTTCATGTGTGCTTTAGACTTCATATGTTTTGTCAGATTTCCTATGGATCAGAGATTAATCTAATTAACGGACAACAGCAAAGATCACTCTCCAAGTCAGGTTTTGGTGTACCTTAAATCCATTATCCTGCAGATGGGGGTTTTAGTTTTAAGAAAACCAGAACAGACAGGGCTGACTCATCCAGCCCATTGCCCTCAGAGCCTGTTTTAATGAGTGGGTTTTTATATCTTCCAAATGAAAAAAAAATATTATTTCAAAAAAAATTAAACCCAGGGCCTGAGAGGTATATAGGCATCTCTCCAATTTTCCACATGACATTTAGGCACCCCAGTGAGCTAAAAAACTCACTTTTGGATATTATCTATCCCTGGGCTCAGTGTTCGTGACATGCACTGACTGCTTGGACATCAAAGTCAGTCCAATGCTCACCAGCCATTCATGGCTCTCACTCCTCGTTTCCCAGCAGTACTTTCAAGCTAAAGGCTCTCCCCTGATCTTCACATGTAGGTTCCAAATGTTCATTGTGTTTCATGCATTTTGAAGCAAAAGTACCCCACCAAAAAAGACATTTATGGGAGACTTCTCTATGCAAGTTTACCACCTAGCTGCAATCTCTGATCTGAAAGGAGATGTACTTGCAGCATTCACCTGGGATGTGGGAAATCCAAGTTCAGCTCCCTGCTTTGGAGTACGGATCTGAACCAGACACAGCAGGGATTTGAAATCAGATCTCCCATTCCCCTGAGGGAGCAAGCTAACACTAGACTATTGACTTTCTGGAGTGCCTGTCTTGGTCTGTTTTTTCACAGATAAGAAAACTGGGTTGAGGCTGGCCCCAAGAGACTTTTTATGGCGAAGAATCTTGAGCACAAAGCATAAGCTGGGGAAATGAGAATATCACTCTAATCCATTAACCACTTCAATCACATTTACTACACCCAACAGGGAAAGCAGAGCACAAGCAAACCCAACCCACTACCAAGACATGGTGCTTCTTAGCTCAAGGAAAGCACTCTGTGAATGTACCTAAGCTGCTTTTGGGAGTCCAACCAGCATCTCCAGATGGTGCCTGTGGCATACGCAACCTGGAGGCAGGAACATCGTACCACTCTGTTGGATAGTGGAGCTGTGCTTAGAAGCTCACAAGCCAGGTTCTTCCTCTGACTTGCAGGGCCATCTAGTTCAAATAATTCCCTTCTCAAAAAGGGAATTTTCTTATTGTGCCTGTGCGCTGCATGACAAGTCTAACCTGGTCACTGATGCCTCTGGATGGCTAAATGCTCGGGGTGTACACTGAAAACCTAAGTACCTCGAAATGTCTGTCCCCTGCTGTTCTCAGCAAAATAGCAACAGAAATGAGGCTGACAACTGCTCATAAGCAGTAATGCACCACTTAAACACTTCTTGTACTTCGAAGGCTTAGTCTCTTCCGTCTCATGCCCTTCTTGTGCAATAGCATACCACCTCCCTCCTCCCTGTTCCTTCTTCTCTGCCAGAAATGCCAGCCTCAGCAAGCAAATTCACATTTCTTTCCATGCCATCTCTTCTGCCTGGAATGTCCTCTCTGAACACAGCTGCAAAACCACAATTCTCCTTCAACTCCCTCCTGAAGACCCATTCCTCCAGCAATGTCAAATGCAAACAATGATCCAAGAACAGCTCACCAGATTGTCTACTGGGACTACAAACGAGCAGCTCCTTGCCTTTGTCTCTACACCCCCATGAAAGTTCTCATCTTAAATTAGGTTGATGGGTCTACTACCATCCATCAGCTATTCCCATCTTTGGCAGAGGCAGAAGTGTTGAAGTCGTGGAAAGTATTACAATTCTCAATCCTCAAAACAGCCATGAAGCTGCACTGGGATCTTGGGAGAAATTTCCTTCAGCTTCCTCTCTCCCCCTTCAAGTAAGTTCAGCGCACTGGGACCAGAATCCATTTCCCTTGTCTGCCAAAGGGGAGCTAAGAAACTGAGAATGTAAGGTTTATTTGGACTGAGCTAGAAAGAAATGCTACAAAAGAAAAGGATTTTTTTTTTTCTTTTAAGGAGATAAGTTGCAATGCAAATCCGAATTCCAAAGAATATCATTATCTGTGGCCTCAGGGTGACAAATGGAAGCTTTTTTCTGTGCTGATAAATACATGTGAACACAAGCTATCAGATCTCTATTCATAATTAATGCCACAGTGGATGGAGTGGCCCATCTGGGAGACATACATTATTTATAAACTTGAAACTGACCCACTGTAAAGCCTGTGAAGGCATGTTTTCCTCAGCAGCTGATGCTCTGCTTCTACATTATGTCATAACAAGTGTACTCTCCTGGTAGCATTTAAGTGTTGCTGCAATTAAAATTTGCACCATGTAACAATTTTGGCAGAAAGTATTATTTCTAAGGGTGGTTCTTATGCTACTACATTTTCTCTGCAGACAGATGGACCAGCCAAGAGCCTACAGCTCTTAATGAAGCTATCCAAGGAGTCTCGGAGTCTCACAAAATCCCTGGATCAATTAAACAGAAGATAAAAACCTCTCTCACGAAGTCCTGTACACATCAACGCAGTAATTTCATTCTCATCAAAATTCTCTCCTTGATTGCAAAGGGTGCTTGGATCCCACACGGCAAAATAGCTCAAGATTTGTTTGGGAAATGGCAAAAGTTC